CATGCAGCACAAGTTTCACAACAATGTCTTCGACTGGTCTGTCAGATCTCCAGATTTGTCCCCTGTCAAACATGTTGGGCAAGTATATTCAGCAGTGTACAAATATAGCCCAACTCGCAAACCAGTTGCCTCATATGTGATACAACCTACAACAGAGGAAAATTGGCAACTTAATAAATTTCATACCCAACGGAATATTGGCTTATATAGCTGCCAGAGATGTCTTTACTACCTACCGATTTTCACGTTCTTTGTATAGCTACTTATAAATAAAACATTTCTTTTGGCCAATTGACCACTATACTGCTGAACTTTCATACTTGTGGTTCAATTCTTTCTAAGTGGATATATTTTTTCGCAACTGAATGAATTTGTTATAGATTAACAACCAAAAATATAATTATTCTATACTAGAATGAAAATTTGATACATCTGCACATGCAATTTTTTTTTTACAGAAATGGGACAAAAACTAAGAAAAATAGGCTTAGAAAAATAATAAGTGTGTGCTCTGCGTTTCCCAAATCATGTTTTCTATGTTAGATTTATCAGATGGATTCATATTTATTTTTCAGTAATTAAAGTACATATCAATTCTATGCTTTATTTAAAACACTTATATGCAATTTTCATGTTTTATTCAAAACTTCTAGAAGCTATTTAATTCCCTTCTCATGAAGTATTTCCTAAAACTTTTCTAGCTGTTCCGTTTTAAGTCGCCACAAGATAGCAATCCATGTTATTAAAAATAAATGTTCTTTTGAAGAAAAGCTTTAACAATAAATCTTTAACCATGTCAGTATAACACTGAGAAGGAATAGAAACTGAATGTAACCACACTGTTCAGATTAATATTTTAACAAAAGTGTTTGGGTCATACCTCAGCGTTCAGTTGGATTATATCCATATAGTTATTTATTATTGTACAATTAAGAGTTTTCTTAATTTTTAATGTTGCTTGATTTGCATGATAGAATAAGCAAATATGCAACCACAGCTAGCAATGCAACCTTGGTTCACAAATTTAATTTTTTCTTGAAAACCGTTTACCCACTGAAACAATTTTTTTTCTACAGGAATAAGTGTAAAATGGATTAATTCGCTCTTGGACCACAGGAGCCTGCTCATTTAAATTTTATAGCACGTTGTACAGAAGTTCATTATAAAAAAACTAACTGAAATTATTAAATATAGCACAAAAAGATTTTTTAAATATTAAATGGATAAAATGGACAAAAATTTAACCTTCTTGCATCTATAGAAAGGAGTGGATGGTATAATTGGGACATGATGAGGAACAGGATACTGCTCATATGCAAAATTCCCTTCCTTTAAAACATCTGGTTACTGTTTTCAGGTATTTCCTTTTACTTTTTTTTTTTTTTTTTTTTTTGCCTAAGTGCCACTCAACACAGCTCAAGATCCACTGGGTTGGTTTCACTCAAACTGTATTTAATGTGACTAGCGACTGCCTATGTTTTAAAAGTGAGTTAGGGTATTTTCATTGAAAATACTTATGATATAGTGTGGTACTTCTTTATAAAGGTAGTATCCTTATGTGAAAACTTTGCATCTTATTCCATTTTGTACGAATTTCCTGGCAGAGAACTTAAGTCCCTTCTTGTTGAGCTAATTTTTGTTACGGCCCTCTAGTAACTTCTCCGTGTTTTCTTCCTAGCACATCATTTTACATAGAGATAAGTGTCAAAGCATTCAAATCTCTGCCTGGAACACAATCTGGCCATAATTTTCCCCAGGCTGAACTTATGGTTCTGTAAGTCACTTGCTGCTAGACTTTGTTAAGACTTAAGCAATGGAAAATATTAAAATGATGTTTTCAGAAGTTCATGAGTGTTACTTATGTGGTACAGTCAAAAGTCGTTAATTCGGACACCCATAATCCGGACCTCAAAGCTAAAATCTTTCTGCGCATGCGCCGCGTTGACACATGCTCATAGGCGTTTTACGTGTCCGACATTTACGACTGCGCAAGTGCAGAATACGTTTTCACGTCGGACGGCATAAGCTAAAATTATCTAATTCAGTTAATGTTGATGATTGCGTTGTTCCTTAATCTTCGAATTGGATCCGGCTTATTATTTTTTGCAGACTGTAAGAGCAATTTTATAAAAGTAAGCTTGAACTTTCGATTATGTCAAATAGAATTTCCGATGCTGGAGCTCCCAAAGGATCTAGAAAACGAAAGTATGATTCGATGTCCATCAAACAAAAAATGGATAAAGGTATATCCTTTGTTTATCTAACCGTTCCGAAATCTGTTTATCAATTTCACGCTGCTCTGCGTGGGGGGGGGGGACGTCGCACGCGCAATGAACTGGAAGTTGATCTGTCACCACTATCGTTATCTTCAGAGCAGATGTTTTTATTTTATTCGGCTTATAATTCCTTATTAAATGTAGTATTTAATCTCGATGTACTCCGTCTTTGATATGATTTAAATCAAATTCCTCGTCATTATAAATATCACGAATACACATCAAATAGTTTTCTGGTTGCAATTTTCTAATTTCGGCTATGCGTAAGGTAAGCATGCGCGCGTTTAAAGAAATGTTTAATAAAGTAAACAAATAAATATTAAGCTTTTTTTTTTTTTGTAAATTTTGATACCCTTTAGATCATAATTGCTCATTATTTTATAAATTACGGTTTCATATTTTTAATTTTATAATTACTGCATGCCATCTTGCCAGAATTAAACTGATGATCTATAATCCGGAAAAATCGATAATCCGGAATCGCCGAAGTCCCGACGAGTTAAAGACTTTTGACTGTATATGTTACCTTAACACACCTTTGAATATCATTTGCTTGTAACTTGTGTGCTCATAACTCGAGACACCATTCATCACCCAAGGCACTTTTCACTCAAATAATTTCTTCATCATCCAAATTGTTCATGAAGTACTCTGCTTGTGATCCAAGGTTTCATTGCAAATACGAGAGCTATGAAACTTCCTGTTGCAATGAATAATTCTGGCATATATACTTAAAAAGGTTAATTTCCCTTTGCCCAGAGTATACTTATCAATTTCATGAAAAAGATAATGCATAACCAACTGTTGCCTTAGCATAAGTATCAGTCTTAGAAAGTCATTTTACAAGGCATAAATTATTAAGACCTGAGATTTCTCTATTAATAAGTAATACTGTAATTTGCAGCAAAACCAAGACTCTCTTAAGTACATGATCTCTCTCAAGTTCAATTAATTAAATTTAACTATTTTTCTGGCAACAGTTTTCTATCCTTCAAAACATATGAATATGGTAATAAATAGTACAATTTAGTACATTTAACAGAATCGTACTCATGGGACAAAAAAAACTGTCAGAACTTGCAGTTCATCATAACATTATTGAAGTGTATAAATACAAACCAAGTTTCAGATAAGATTACAAACAGATAAATACAAACTTCATTTTAGGTTTGAAATACCTAAAGCAGTTTATGACCTTTTTAATATTTATATGAAAAATGCAACTTTTGAAGTCTAGATGCAGTTGTTATAAAATATATTTATTCAATAATCTGAACACAAGGTGTGCAAAAACAGAAGGAAATAAATAATTTATAAGAAAAATCTTTGAATTGCCTTTCTTCAATAAATATAAAATTATAATGAAATCCAAATTTCAACAAATGCTAAAACTGATGTTAAAATACAACATCCACAACAGCACTTGTTACTAAGAAATTACATTTTCAGCATTAAAACAAAACACCTGAAATTAAGGAACCAAGTATTTTACAAAATCAGAAACTAGGATTAGCTATGAAATAAGCTGATATGGACTTAGAAATTACAAAAATGCATAGTTTTTCATTTTCATGCCTTTTAGCATGTCCCAAACACAGTCTGATAATCAAAAACTAATCTGTCAGCTATAATACAATCTAGTTTAATACAGTATTAAGAGGCACTTAGTAATAGCTGGTTTCTGGTAAATTTTAAAAAAGATGTTCATAACTTGTATTCAAAACTAGACAAACTGAATTTATTTCTCAAAATATACTTAAAAGACTGTTTCATTGCATTTTACTGCAACATAAAGTGGCTGTACTTCATTTCAACATTGATCTTTATACTTCACACGCAATTTCAAAATGAAACCTTCTTTTAAATAAAGGCAGCAGAATTTCAAGTATCGTTTTACATTTAATACACAGTATAACTTGGAAGGATAAGTTGTGAAGTAAATTATTGCATAGTTAAATATGTTTAGAACTTTCAAAACCATACTTGAATAATGCTATACTTTAAAGAAAAGTCAAGTGCATTTCGCTGGTTATTTAAAAACATTTCACATGCTAATAATATGTTTGGAACCTTTAGAACCAAACTTTAATATATACACTTCAAAGAAAAATCAAATGCATTTCAGAAATAGCTTTGCAAAATTTAACATGCCTCCACTTTTATCGATATAAAATGCTTACATCTGAACTATTAATTAAAACTTATAAACTAAAGTTTCCAAGGGATGAAATGAGGTTTCTTAATATTATTATTCCCTTATTTAAGTTAATAAGATATTGCTTTAGAAACTGCATCTTTAATCATTTACCTGCTTATATCTCACATTGTCCAGATAATGCAATATAAATACAAATTCTGTTTCTAATTCTGAACTTAGTCAAGACATCATAAAAGTTACTCCCTGAAACAGCTGTTTTTTTGAAAACACTTATTATACAACCAACTTTGAAAATATATGTATCATAGATTAACATGTTCAAAATCACAGAAGGTATCTTATTAGATTTACTTCTATTTCAAGAAGGCATAAAAATATCAAACTAAAATGATTATGAAGATGGAAATACTTTTTTAAGATTGCAGCTGAAATAACTTCGGCAATTAATGCAATTCTACTCTCAATGCATTTCCAGATAAGAATATGTTACTTTGACAACTATATAAATACTGAAAACCCTGATTTTAGTCATCCTTCTTAAAAGTTGCAAATAGATTTAGGCCACATTTTTTTTTTTTTTTTCCTTTCTAAAAGACAAGCAAAAACAATTTAATGGATCAGCATGTGATTAAATATCTTAGGAAGAAAGGCAAGACAGATACCAACACAATCAAAAAGTTCGAGGATTCAATGCAAGGTGTAAAACTGAGAATACTGAGATGTGATGCAACAACAGTCATCTAGGTAGCTGCACTCACTGCACTGTGAAATACAGCCAAATGTTAGTTTTTAAGGAAACAATGCATGCTAAGTAGTACATTGTGTGTAAGGTGATCAAGCAGACAATCAAGTGCAGTATACCACAACTGAAACAAAACAAACATCAAGTTTTTGAAAAAATCACGCAAATCTGCTACCTAAAGCTTACGCATAACTTTTATGGTAAAGCCATGATCTGCTTGCATTTTCAAGTCATAACTGCATTTCACAGAAGGTCAGAGATTCTGCTGAGATGTGCATGCAGGGCAACTCACAAGCGAGATGACTTCCGTCCTAAGAAGCGCATGCAGGGCAACTGATGCCAATCAGAATGGCAAAGAAAATTCAGGAATGCATTGGGCAGACCATAAAAATGGTATGTAAAGCATTGATCACACTGCAGAAACAACAGATATTATTAATGGAATCTGCCATGCTATTCTGAAAGAAAATAGTGTTAACATCCCAAAGTTCCCACAAAGGTTAAAAGAAAACTAGTGTTAATAGAGGATGACCACAAGTGAAGTTCTGATAGAAAACACTGACAATGGTGTTACATTTCTGTTCTGTATCATAAAAAGAGATGAAATATGGGACTTTACTGTACGAATCTGCAAACAAAATGGCAATCCGTACTTGAAAGTGGTTATGGGTCTCCCAACCAAAAGAGACATCATGAAAAGCAGTCATGCTGCAAGTGCTTTATGTGAGCTCTGACACAGCATACACATTCATCCTTTATCACTTGTATGAATTCATAACATGAGAGTTCTCAACTTATAGTAAAACAATTTGCTTAATATCCATAATGATGCTCTAGTACATTGCTATATTTTTATGCAAGCGACTAAAATATACACAAGAATCTTGACAAGTTCTCTTCACCTGTCACTTTCCAACATGTTTCTTTTAGCATACAAAGCATAACATCTGCATAGATGGACTTTTCAACTCGTGGAAATCACCAACAGCATTTCATGTTGTTCCATAAAATGCCATCCAGGAGCGTTTCCAGCAGATTTAGTGATGCCACAAGTGCATAATAATTTTATACACATTACTTATTCACAGCCCAATTCTCGAACTTTTTGATTAGTGGTAAATGTTTCATTTTAAAAGAGACACCTCTCCATGTGTCTCATTTAAAATTAAATCTTCAAATATGTTTTTAATTCAAAAATTTAAAAAATTTATGTTTACTGAATTTTGAACCCACAATTTGTCACCCTAGGCATAGCAGTTTTTTTTTTTTTTTTTTTTTAATGTTAGACTTTCCCAAATTTTTTAGTCCATGCATGTACATAAAAATTGCTTTAAGATATAGGAATTATTTATTTTAAGTATAATTTAATGAGATCCTCAATAATTCTATACAATAGCTTCAAAATAATTTAACTATATATTCAAAATAATTTAATTATAATATATTAATTATTTATATAATTTAATTCATCAATACACCATATTCAAACACACATTTTTTGAGGGTGGGTTTAAAAATTGTACACAACTAACCCTCTTTTCATAAGTCAGTTCAGTAATAGTATTGTATAGTAATTTAGTGTCACAGCTGCTTTACTTATAAAAGTGCAATAGCTGTTTTTGGTATCTACTGAATTAGAGGCTATCTATATGTAGAAATAATTCCAGGTATTTGCAGCTTAAACTACTTTAAAACTGAGCAGTTACTGATCACTAAAATCAAAAATAAAATTTTCCCCTCCCCCCAATATGATGCTTGTGGCTTATCACATATATGTATTCACAGATGATCAAATTGGACATATATATTAAAATGTGAAGCAAAGCTATGATTTTCCATGCATGTTATTTTCCCATCTACTATAGAGAAGGGGAAATACATAAAACTGAGATCAAACATCCGGAAAAAATACATCAGACACACTTTCCTTTTTTCCCTCATAAGTTCAATATTATTAGATCATCAACTATACAAACAAGAAGCTATGTACACCTTACAATTTATACATAAGTTCTTTTACATCAGAAAAATATGTATATAGCTCGTATATTTACATATTTTGCATACAATAATTTCCTTTTTCCTCAAGATGCATTTCATTCAGCTGAACGAAAATGTTATTGATGCTACACTAAGTGTCATGACATTTTTGTTTACACACAGGGTAAAACTGCACTACTGAAATTATTAAAATAAACACAAGCTTAATGAATAATAATAAGTATAGTACAACATTTTTCAACTGATGGCATAAATGAAAAATAAATATGCCATATTTCATGATGAAACAGCACATACTAGAATTTCCAGAAATGTATATAGTTTTACAAGCTCTATTTCAAACAATCTACAATCTCAATAACAGATGCAAACAGATACATGAAATGCCTAATTATTTGTATAATTAATATGCTAATTTATCACTCTGAAAAATAGATTTTTCAGTTTTTAAAAGATTTAACACAGGTTTACTAATAAATGCTTATTAACAAGCATCACAGTTTTTAGTCACATCTTAAAAAATGCTTCATGCAATGGTGTTTTGAAATTTTTATATTTTATACAAATGAGAGGAAACTGAATCTAAAAATGTACAATATAAAAAATAATAATTTTGAATTTTTTTAAATACATACACTTCAACTGCAATCTGCTTATAATTTTGAAATTCAGTTTAAATAGAAAAACAAGCATAAATTATGCCCAATTTTAATTTTACACAAACCATTCAGGAAAAGCAAATCCCGCTTTCTCCCCCACTCAGCCTCTATAATGTATTTTTAGCATCAGACCGTATCTTAAATCAAGCCCTCATGGCTGTAGAATATCTTGATAGTTATTAATACTTCATTATCATGCAGAAAAAACTTTCTTATAGATTCCAACTAGCTAGTGAAGAAATGGAAAATACTAGTTACTTTAAAAATGAAAACTTTCTCCCCAGAAATATTTTATAATTTTTTAATACATATGGTTCCATTATAAACAAAATTGGCCCATATTTTTCAATTAAAATGTTTAAGGTAGTGAAACTGGATAAAAAGGAAATAAATAAAAGAACACAAAAAGCCATTATAGTAGTACTGCTACGAAACCTTTCCAGGGAGATAAAATTTATAGGTAGAATTTCGCACACCATCACATGAAATTTTTTAGGGAGGGGAAGAAAAAGCATTTTCAGAACAGTAAATTAGTTTACTTCCCCACTAAATTTTGAAATCACCCTAATTTGCTAAAAATCTGGTAACATTTACTGCCAGATTTTAACTGAAGATACAGACCAACATATTCACATACAAAAAATAACAGTATTATTGGAATCCACGAAAATTCTTATTGAAATAAAAACAGGAAAAAAGGTTCCAACAGGATTACAAAAATGAAAAATGGCAAATTACACAAATCATAACATTATTAATTTTGAAATTAATAACACTAATAAATTATTAATTTCAAAGAGATCAGCAAAAATTTGTCACCAATATTAACAAGAGATTTAAATATTTTAAATGATTAGATCTTTATTCAAATTTCTTACTTTATTTTTCATCTAAAACAGATTTAAATAAAACAGATTAAATTAGATGATTAGATCTTTATTAAAATTTTTCACTTCATTTTTCGTCATAATTTCTTCTTATTCACATAGAGAAAAATTGAAATAGCTAATTAATGCAGAAGTATTAAATTCTACAAGTTTGTTAATGTCCCATATTGCTAGCAATATAAACTGAAAACGCCTTTGAACATAAAATGACGTAGTCTAATTACACACACATACATTTTTTTATTAAAAAAAATCATTTTTGAAAATACTCGATAATTTCTCATACTATAATGAATAGATAAATGGTTCTCTTAACATTTAAGTAATGAAAATGACATACAAACAGAACAAAATAAATATTCACACATTAACAGTTTTTCTTCTTTTAACAAATACATCATGACCAAAACAAATGTCAAAATCCAGCTTTGCCATTTCAAAGAAACAATTTAGCGCAAATGTGCATTCATAGACATTAAATCAACTGCAGTCTAAACTAATAAAGCTTAGCATTGCCATGACTTCAAAATTCCAGCTTCAATTTCATGTTGCATAGGATGATGACATATCTACATATCCTTTTTTCCCCCTCTTTAAATCATAAAACATATTTTGTTCATATTTAGGATGTCAGGATAGTCACATATTCCAGTGCATATTTTTTTTAATTCTATAAAGGCAAAATTATAAGCTGTTTTTCTTTCAGTGTACCTCTTAAGGAAATTGTGCTGAAGTTGAGACAATTCTGTCGCAAACAGGACCATTCTGAACTGAAGTTGCAGAGCATGTCTCCTCATCAAAAAGTGCTGTCAAATCTTTTTGCCTAAAACAAATAAGAAACATTGATGTGATCAAAATCCATGCAAATATATATATTTACAGCGAATAAAATGTTCTGAAAATACAGCAGTTACACATGTAATTCACACAGTATACACTGATAAGCTAAAACATTTACCCCACATTTTTCAAGGAACTTGTCAGTATGACATGCAGGGAACGTGAATTAAGTAGGAATGGTATTTAACTGCTGCTGGAGAAGGTAAGGAATCATTATTGCATTTACTTTTGTAATGGGAAAAGCTGCAAATCTAAGTGAATTTGATAGAGGGCAGATTACATTGCCCCAAAGACTCGGAACATGTGCGTGTGTGTGATTATGGCAAAGCCTCAAGGGGAGGGATGCCTTTGTGCAGGATTTTCTAAGGGAAACGGGCTCGTATACACGTTACCCATGGGGAAAACCACGAAAACTCCCATGCACAGGATTCGAACCTCGGACTGAACTACCAGCATTCAGCGGCTTTACCACTTGGCCACTGGTGTGCCACATGTAGCTCTGAAACTGCACGGCTGGTAGGTTGCTTACAATCTGCCATTGTTAGTATTTATGCAAAGTAGATAAATGATGAGTTTTCATAGACAAGGTGTTGGATGCACATGTGTTAACAAAGAAAAATGATCTTGGAGCCTGTCCCTGCTTGGTGCAACAAAATTGTCGCCAGACTCAACTAACAGTCCAATACAATGCATGTCCAAGTGCAAGTGTTTGAGAACACACAATGCAGTGGATACTGTTGGATATGGGACTGCGCAGCAGGCGTTCCACTTGAGTGCCCCTGTTGACAAAGCCTCATTGTCAACAACTACACCTACAGTGGATCTAGGAACATCGAGATTGACCATGGCTAAACGGAAGACAGTTGCCTGGTTGGTGAATCACAATTTCTCATTCATCACATTGTTGGTCATGTCAAAGTCATCTTCCAGGTGAACAGTTGCTCCTCCGCTCTAGAGCAGGTCATATACAGGCTGGTGGTGATGGTATTATTCAATGGGACACATTCTCATGGGCAGCTCTAGGTCCCTTAGCTGTGGTAGAACAGACTGTGAAAGCTGCAGACATCTGAATATAACTGTGGATCAGTTGCACCCTAACATGGCAGATCAGAAGACAGATCTACTCAACTAGAAAAGGAATCTTCCAGCAGGACAACACCTCATCTCACAAGGCTCGAATTGTGTTGGGAGTGGTCTGAGGAGCATAAGGATGAATTCCAATTAATGTCCCGGCCACTAATTTGTGGGATCTTAACCTGAAAGACCACATTTGGGTTATTATGAAGCAGTAGCTTAGAGCCCAAACACCACCATTTTTCAAAATATGTTAACTTTGCATGACTGCTGCTTAGACATTTTGGTATAACCTGTCTCCAGTCATCTACCAAGAATTTGCAGCATCCATGCCAAGGTGAATTGCATGTTTTGCAGGCCAAAGTTCATGCAATGCATTACTGAGTTGGCGGTCATAATGTTTCAGCTGTTAAGTGTAAAACATAAATGTGATATACATGTATAAAATATACTCTAAGCACAGTTAAACTGTTTGCTGCATTATATATTTACCTCATACTTTCTTTTTATAGCAAAGGAGTCAGATGCATTAAGTCTAAATCTCAAGATACAGCAGATCAAAAATTAAAAAAATAAAATAATATACATGCAATGTATAGTTTCAAATATGCACTTCACTGTCAATGCACTGCATAAACAATTCCACATTGATAATGCACAATTTGTACTCATATTCAGGACTGCCATGGAAAGATTGTAGTGGGTTTATCAGACTTGTATTTCAACATGATATCTGATTCTTACTTGGAGGGACTTTAGTAGGATTTTTTTTTGTAATGTTTTCTAGAAGTTGTTGCACAAATTATTACTGCATAATACTGTTTTCCATGTAGAGAACTTTAATATAGAGAAAAGATACCAGATTTTTATTTTTTTAATGTTAAAGAAATTGTGAGCTTTGGTTAAAATTTGTACTAGAGATACCAGTATTGAAATGTGTATCATCTCCCAATTACTGCCATTATCCTATTTAAAAATATTCATCAGCAGCTGACATTCAATCTGAAATGAATTACTCTTCAGTGCAGTACTGAACTTCCTGGTGCAAAACAAAATGCTATTTCTTTCACACTGCACAGATTTATTTTCTAGTGCAGTAATAGAACAGAAGGCTTTCTTGTTACTACTGTCACCATACAATGATATATTTTCTGTATACTCTCAGATTTTTTTTTTTTTTTTTTCCCCCCACAAGAACTCTTGAGTTCCAGACAAAAGGTATGGAATTCCATTTTACTATTTAAAATTTTCTGATAACATTTTTAAGCCCCAAAACTACCTACTACAATTGCATCCATAGTTTTTTTTCCCTATTGCAATTACTCATTTGAAAACTCTATTTAAGCCCTGAAAAAGCAACATGTATGCAAAGGGGAATAAAAATAGTTACACATTCAGCCGTGTTCTATATGTATTATGCATTTAATTCATGCTGCCAATTCAATGTTCAGTGGTTCATTAAACTTCTGGTGGGAATAAATGTGCATGAAAAAATATAATTTCAACATGCATGGCAATTTTATGTCTGAAACAAGTTTAATCTCACCTGTTAGAAGATTCAGCTCTTACTCCACCTTTATCACTAGACAATGTACTAGCAGAACCAACAGGACCTATTTCACAGCCAGATTTCTCTCCTGACTTTTGTCTACTAAATAAATAATTTTAAAGTGAAATTTATTATTACACTGTAAGCATTATAAAAGTAAATATGACAGTAGAAATGCTACTACATGAAAATACAACAGCATAAACATGAATAAATTCAGTAGTGCTTTTAATTTAGGCAAGAAAGCAACCTTAGTTTGGCAAGATATTGAATAAAAAATTTTCAAAAAGTTTACATTCTAATCATCTAGTTCTGCCAATCTCCTAATTCGGCAACTGTTAATATTTTTAATGTTAATCTCTTGGAGAATCGCATGAGCGTATTAAGATATAACTTTAAGCAAGTAAACTTCCACCCCCATCTTATAACTCTCTTTGAAAAAGCTTTCAAATTCACAAAAATTTCATAGCCACAGGAAGATACAATCCACCATTTAATTACTGACAAGGTTCATTTCAACAGTAAATCAATCAAATCAAATTTTAATGAAAAGAAATGAAGGCCTTACATGAAATTCACTCGAATCCAAACATTATTATTTCTGAAGCTAATAAGGGTGAACAGATTGTTGTTATGGACAAATGCATATATGTTAGATTACAAACCGATTAGTGATACAACATACTGCTTGATCCCTATTGATCCTTTATCTTCTGATCTTTTGAATGATAAAACAACCATTAAATTCTCACATATATATATAATCTTAACTAAAAGCACTTTTATCTAAAAAAAAACTGCTCTTTTCACTTCTTGCTAATTGTGCTAGGTCTTATGCCCTCCCCAAAGTTAAGAAAAATTTGAATTTTTCACCACATAGTTTCTTATTTAGAAAGAGCATCACACACTTTGGCCAAGTATCTAGTTTCTAGATTTTCTCCATTATTTTCTAACAATACTCACACTAAAAAACTATTGTGAAGTCAATCCATACACTTAAGGATATTTCTTCTATTTCTTCCCAGCATTCAATTATGGTTTCTTTTGATGTTAAATCACTGTTTACTAAAGCTTCAGTTGAGGGAGTATTAAAATGTCTTGAAATCAGTCTTTGACATCCCCCCCCATTTACTGAAATTCAGGAGTTAATTCTCCTCTTTAAATTGTGAGTCAGACCCACTTATTTTCCAAAATAATTACTATTGACAGATTAAAGTGCTGACTATGGGTTATCCTTTCTGTCCAGTATTTGCAGACATTTTACATACACTATTTCTAGATAAAATTATTCGAAAAACTGTATTTTCGGTTCTATGTTCATAACACAGTTGCACTTTTTGACTGTATTAAATATAGAGTGTGACTACTATTAAGGTTCCAAAGTTTTTTTTTTCCTTTTCTTTTCTTTTCTTTTTTTTTTTTTTTTTAAAAAAAGGTCAGAATGACTTCAGTATACATGAAGAAACGGGAATTTGTTTTGGAAAAAAAAAAAGTTCAGAATTTTATCAGTGGATGGCACTATATATTTGTCATATGGTAATAAGGAGACAGGGTATGTGCACCATATATTAAACTTAATAAAAACACAAGTACTTCAGTTCCTGTCATTCTGCATCTAATAAGCTTGTTGTGATCCTGTATATAGGGGACTGAGCTCTGCTTGTAAAGCTTTTTTTTTACAAGAACAGTGACCATCCTTCAACTGTCCTGATGAAGTTTGGTACATTAATGGATATAAAACACAGTTTGCATAATTTTTAGAAAATATCTTGCAGTCCATTCAAAATTATTCACATTCAGGAGTTGCTTCCTGCTGCGTGCTAGTATGACAAATTCTTGCCCTACAATTTCTTGCTTGAATGGAAGTGGACACTGCAAGACCATGGAACATTTAGTGAACACATGAAACCCATTCCCAAGTTTCTTTCTATACTCAAAACTGCAGACGCTGGACCACAGGTGCATCTTATGCCCATTAATGTCCGGAACGTCTTCCAGGCAGTAGTAGCATAGTCAGCATGATTGTAAAACTTTACAAGAACCTGTCCCTTCACTCATAGTCATGATGAGTTTCTCAGATGTAGTATAATAAAATTGCATGTACTTCACATTTTTATTAAGTCTAATATGTGGTGCACATGTCACATCTTTTAATCAGCTTATTATGATGAGAATAGTGCATCTACTGATATAATTGTGAGCTATTTTTTCTTTCACCTTACAAAGTCCCACTGCTACAGGTATATGAAGGTCATTCTGACCAAAGTTTTTTTTTTTTTTTAAAGTTTTTTTGCTTTTGAAAGTAGAACATTAATTATAATCACTTTGTATAACTAATACTTTATCTGTAGGAATTCAATTAATTATAATTCAAAGTTCACTTCTGAAATTGAATCTGATAATACCAACCTTATCTTAGTATTCTAATTATCTTCAATGAACTTGATTTCAGCACTACTGTTTACCATAAACCATTTTGTCTGTCTACCTCTCCATGCTAATTCATGTCCTCCTACTAAACAAAAAATGACTTCCTTTTTATTACTATCATGTAAACTATGCGCTCTAAAGTCCTTCAGAATATTAGCTTTCTCTTGTTATTCTATTCCATCCAAGGACTTCAAAATCATTTGGATTCTTCAGTAATTCAAATATTGGGCCAATTTTTCACTTATGAGTAAAATTTATTGCTAAATTCTTAAAAGATTTCATCCCAATTTTAATTCTTGAGGAATTCATAATATATTTTATTAGTGTGGTTTGTCATAATTCATTCAAACTAAAACAGCATTAAAATTTTATATAAAAAAACAAATTTTACATTCAAAAAAGAAAATAACCATATCTTTCACAGCTGATCACAGTTGGACGCTTAATCACAATTCTAACTTTGGTTCTGTAAAAATTATTCATAAAGCTTTGTTAGTTGAACTGGATTTTTTTAAGCTTTTTATAATCACATAAATTAATCTTCTTTAGATAATTATATTAATTCCAACCCGGGCCCTGTATTTATTCATGAATTATAATACACTTTTCAGAATTCTTGTATCTTGTTTTCTTACATTTCATTGCTATTTTTCTCAATTCAGGTTTGCTTTGCTCTACCCAATGCTACACATCTACTACTACTACTACTACAAGGAACATTTGCTTTTTATTAATAAAAGTCGGTTGCTCCTCATGTATGGCAAAATACTTTTCTTGGTACCTTAATCCGTTCAGTATGGGCTTGTCGTGTGCATCAGCAGCGAACATTACCTCACGGCCGGGTGTGTCATATTTGAATCGCCATATAATTCACTCTACCGGCCGGATGTACCACATTTGACTTTTTAGATAGAACGTTTAATTAATATTTTTTGTTGCCTCTAGATGTAGCTATATGCCTGTTATGGGGAAATATATTGAAAGGTAAGTATGTTTACCTTCATTCCTATGCAATGATTTTTATTTTTGGTATTTTGTTTTGGAATGAGAGCGAGACTCGTGGGTGGGTGTTGAGCAATGTAATCTCTCTTTAACTGCGTCATTTGATATAAACAAATGCACATGCTCTCGCTGCATTGAGCTACTTTTTATTTTTATTTTTGCGATATAGTGGGATAGACATTCTATCATTAGATTTTTTTATTACTCTTATATTTTTCCTTTTTTTTTTTTTTTTTTTTATTATTCTTAGATTTTTCGTGCTTTGAGATGAATATTTTTAATCATCAGTGAAACGTATTTTTTTTAATGGCAAACGAAAGCAGTATTTAAACGTAGAATATACACAATCGCTAATTCATAAGTGTTGAGTAATGTAATGGCTCTTACTGCGTCATTTTATATAAACAAATAAACATGTTCTCGATTCTCTGGAATACTTTTAATTTAATTTATTATTTTTTATCAGTTATAGCGGAGTAGATGTTCTATCATTAGACTTTTTTATTACTCTTTGAGTTTTCCGGCATTGAGATGAATTTTTTTGTATCGCTTTGTGAAAGTTTTTTTTTTTTTTTTTTTTTTTTTTTTTAATGGCAAAACAAAAGCACCATCTGACCATAGAACATATACAAATGCTAAATGAGTCCAATTTGCAGAGTGAAATAACAGTAAATATTATATTCCTATGACTAATGCAACATTGGACTTTGCATACACCCATGTCTCAAAGAATATCATACACCGTCTCATTTTGAAACATTGCTTACTTTTTGTTGTTTGCTCATTGAATTTTTATTAAAGACAATTTTAATATTTTTAATTTTAATTATGTGTTGTGTTAAATAAAATCTGGGATTGTTTGGATATTTTTCCATATATATTTATTTGTGGGATAAGGGGAAAATTATATTATTCTAGAATGAGTATTTTATAAAATTTCTATGGATAATATAATAATAAAGGCTTAAAATTAATTCTGACTACCTGAATGTTCTTCTCATAATGTATCCCAAAATTGGGAAAATTTGACGACAAATTTTATTTACACGAATTTTTTTCCAAAGTTAGGCTTAGCAGCATAAATTGCCCGTCCCTACAGGACAGTACACCCGGTTAATAGCGCTGTCCTAAGGGAACGCTTCGGTAACAGAGGTGCCTGTCGCGAACGGGTTAAGAAAGACCTGTGTCTGATTTCCCTTGGAATCGACAGTATTATTCAAAATTTATGCCAAACTAGCATGCATTTTTTTTTTTAGTTTCAAATTTTACATTGCTGTTTTTTTCTTCCGTTTGAAATTCAGTAATGTAAGAGCTCCAATTATAAATGAAAATGTTTGAGACACAGAATTTGGCAAAGAAAAATGAATATTTTAGACATCAAACATAACACACCTGTCTGACAAGGCAACATTGCTTGGGCTACCCAGTTCTTCAGATACACGGACATTTTCTACTGATGACACAAGACTGGTATCTGTAACTATAAAATAAAATTTTTGAATTAAATTTTCCTGAAAAACTGAACAAGTTGAACAATTGAAAGCTTTAAGATAAATGCAACTAAAAAATATAGGACATTTATACCATTTCATACTTGCAAAGAAAGTGGCAAAATTTTGTGCTTTTGCAATGTGCACCGACAGAGAAAATGCAACAAGATGAGGAAGCAGGAAGAATATGATTAAAATAGACACGCAGAATACATTTCTAAATATCCAATTTTAGGTTTTGGTTCAGTTAACACGTTGAGCACCACACATATTTCTTAGGTAATCCTGTTCAGGCCATGTGCGCCGCTTAAAAGCGCTGGTATTTTGTAGGGCCAGGGATAATAGCCAGAGAAAAGATTAAGAGAGTTGTCACATTTTGAAATAGCTGTAATGGAGAACCGTTTTTATGTTTACCCTGTTTCAATAAAAATCCATTAGTCCTGTAATGAATCAAAATTAAGTAAATTTTTAATTTAATGTAATTCCATAAAACAGTAGTGTAAATTTTATAGTTATATACCATGTTACACGCTGTCAGTCAGCAGCATTTGACGTGGCCTAAATGGAAAGTCTAGTGTCAGCCACAGATGGCTGACGTGGCGCTCAACATGTTAATTATGGCAAAGCACACTAGAGCTATCTGGCTAAGGGACGAGATGCCTTCATGTAGAACCTTCTAAGGGAAACTGGCTCATACACACATTACACATGGAAAAACCAAGAAAACGTCCATGCAGCCAGCTTCTTTTGCCTGGAATTGAACCCAGGTCAGAACTATCAGTGTTCAGCAATTTTACTGCTTGGCCACTGGTGGGCAATAACCAGTTTTAATTTTAAGAAATTAATCTACTACTGTGACTGAGTATACAGGGTAATCAACTAGGAAAAATTTGCCTCTATGGGCAAAACAAGCAACATCTTCATAACATAAACACAATAGTGTCCTGATGTATGAGAAACAATAATGTTTCTACAAGTGTTCACAGTTTATGCTCTGAGGCTGGAGCACTGCAGTCAAACAGCCAATTATGCCCCACAAATGATAGACAGAAAATAGATCTTCACAATGGCCAATGAAACAGCTAGGTATCATGCATAGCTTACATGCTGATGTTTACTGTAAGGTGGTCATGTATTTTCTTCTGGAGATACAGCATTATGGAACCCTATAGAATGTATTTTGTTCTGGAGATACAGCATTATGGAACCCTATAGAATAAGGCAATCGGCTGCAGCTTCTCATCCACATATAAGCGTTCCATTATTGTACATCTTGTGTAAAACAGATGTGACCTGCAACTGATGTTGATGATTCCTTAATCCCCCATTACCATAGGTGAACTGCAACCAATGCTGATGGTAAACGAAACCAAAATTGTGGTTGGGCTAAATGCACGATCTAAAACAGCTGTGGGTCTGAATTTTGTCAACAGAATAAAAACTTTTTGAACTAAATTTTAAATTCAACTTACATAGCATTTACCAAATATATATAATACTAATAACACAAACAAAAAATTCAAATTTATATTTATTTCCTATCTGAAATCAAAGGTCTGCAAGAAATTTCTAATTCATTCAAAAGTTATGCACAATTCAAAACACAGGTACTGATATAAGATAGATCTAATAATAAGCACAAATAAACAGGATACGTAAACTTTATATTAGTTTGTCTCTAATTGTACAGTAATATTAACTGCACAGCTGTGCAACCAGCAAACCAACTAGTGACTACTGAAAAAAAGTATACATCAGAAATAGCAACTCTAGAAAAAAAAAAAAAAAAAAAAAAAAAAAAAAAAAACAGACTCCTGAAGCTCCACCAACTGTCATATGGATAACTAAATTTACTGATTTTACTGACATAGCAAGTTCTCCCACTTTACCCCAGTCATGTAGCCTGGCATACAGTGTCAAAGCCCCAACCTATTCAATCTGTTTCTTTCATTCAACATCAGTCACACAGATATGTTCAGCCCATATCTCTAACACTAAAAGCACTGTATTTACAAGAAATCTATAATTTAATTATATGTTGACAGGCTGGCCAACCAGTTGAGTTCACTGGCCTGCCACCATCATTTAGGGTGGAAACTTGATATAAAATGCCCCCTTTTAAAAAGACAAACATATACATGAATCATGCCTTCATTTTTAATGTTTGGTAAAGAAAATCACTGTAGTAAGACACAGTTTTAATTATTCATATTATGTATGTGTTCAGCAATCACAGTAGAATTTGATGTCTCCCTGCCCAAACACACACTGCCACCTCTCTCATTTGGTGATTATCATTAGTAAGGCGGAAAAGAGATTTATCATCAAACATTACCTTGTGTCATTGATAATATTAAGAATCTAAGCCTCAACGTCATTGCACATTGATGAGCTGGTGTCAAAGACAGTCTTAACAAATGGCCTGACTGCAAGCCACTGCCAGTCAATCTTTCAGGATACTAAAGCATCCAAACTTCCCTGCATACTCAGCATAATATAAACAAAAGCAAAATGTGAAGTTGCCATTGCATGCCTTAAGAAGCATCAATCTGAACATCCCCCCCATTCATCTATTATGCACCTAATAACAGTTTACATTGCCTTCTTTTAATCAATCACCTCCATATCTAGTACACAGTTGACATATATTAGTGTGTTTCAGCTGTGATATGAGAGTATCAATAACCAGCAGTAACCAACCCAGCAGCAACTTCAGAGCTTATTCTGAAAAGGACAGGGGGAAAAAAAAAATCATGAAAAAGGAAAAATGATAAATGTATGCTTATTCGCTAATGATGCGACCAACTTGAATTTTAGATCATTTGCATAAATTCTACACTATCATTGCATTCTACACAATTCTTTGCAAGTTGCATAATGCTACGGCAAAATCTTCACTCAGTTGCATTTTATCTGTTTATAAAGGGGGGCACCCTTTAAAAGATAAACTTTAAACGTTTCAAGTAATCACAAGTTGATGCTGAGGTAACATAAAACGGCGAAGTTTGGAAAAGATGTGGTGTAATCGGGGGTCTAGAAATTAATAATCACCCAAAATAGCTGAAAATATGGTTGGTTGGAGTTTTTTGCCACAAAACCCATAGGAGTTATACTGCGCGAAACAAGAGTTTGTGTATTTTCAAAACTTAATAAAGATAGAGAAACACATGTACTATTTCATACATACTCACAAATAGAAATTTCAGACAAAGTTACATATAGGTATAAAATAGCAGTAAACTTTATTAAAACCTACAATAAAATCAAACAAAAAAAATTTTTTTACGAAAACTAAAGATATGAAGGACAATAAAATACAGATAGAAAACTCTATAGTCAAAGGGTAAATTTTGATAATATGAATATAATTTACATTCCAGTTAGACCTTTCTGAAACAAACTGAAATCAGGGCATTCAAATAACATGGTAAAAATTTGTAGCTTTTAAAAAGTTAAAAATGTTAGGATGTGGTTCTTCACCATCTAAATCTTTTGCTAAAATCTGACAAATATTAAAATACAAATTTCGAAAGCAATTAAAATGTGTTAAATGGTTAAAATAGTACTGCATTCAGCACATACTGGTTCAGTTTCGCCCATCAGTAGGTATGTGTGTTAGCCTTGTGTGACCAATTCTCAAGTCGAGTCAGAAGGACCTGCTCCTTCTGGTTTAGGGTACATTTCCAATGTTCTATTTTAAGTTTTATGTTTCATAGTTTATTGGTTAACCGCATCTTCCCAAAGTTTCTGCCATTTCATCAAAATTTTCCTCCCAATCAGTGTTAATAACTGAATAGGGGACGGGTGTGCTGGATGTTCCAGAGGCATATTTTGCAACGATATCCGCTAGTTCATTCCCTTTTATATCAACATGACTTGGTACCTAGCAATAGAGGATCATTTGGCCTTGAAGCTAATATTGAGCTTCAGCACTTCTACAATTAACAGATTTGTGTTATTCACATATGATTCAAGTGCTTTAGCATACTTAGTGAGTCTGTGTTGTCGCACTTAGAAGCGGCGTAACACCAGGGTGCCCGGGTCAATGACCCTACCCCTTGTCGAACATGTAGGTTGTTTCGAATGCTGTCATGAGTAACTAACATAAGATATAATCTTTTTTTCATAAATTATGATCATAATTTTGAGTGATGGACTAATATGATATTCTAGCAGAAATAAAGCGTGCACAGAGTTCCAATAAAGACCTGAAAATACCATCTGGGATAGCTGAGAAAGGGGAAAAGAGCTGGCTTTAACCTGAGTCCTAGAGATACATATAATACATACATACAATACAGATAGTGTGAGTCAACTGGTGCACTTAAATCATAGCATAAGTCATAGACTACAGTACAGGTAAAGTACGTCAAATTAATAAATATGAGTACTAAGTATGGTCATAGGCCGTTTATAATTATTTGGGTCATTTACATCATAATTGAAGACCCTTATAACAGGGTTGTTGAAACTTGTGAGGTTAGCATAAAAATTCCGGGCAAGACGGCAATAAAAATATTTCAGTTCTTCAATGTCTGATTCATCATGAAGTTTTTGATTTCGAACGTACGAGGGCAAGTTGATGACCTGTCTTAGGACACAATTTTGTGCCGACTGAAACTTTTTCCTATATGATTTGTATGGATATGCCCAAACCGGGCAGGCATAACATAGTATGGGATGCAATACAGTTTTATAAATAAGCAACTTGTTATCTACTAAAGTACACTGTTTCAAGAAATCAAGGGGTGAAATGTAACTTTACTAACTGGAAACCTTTTAAGGATAGATATTATGTGTGGGTACCATGAAAGAGTTTTACTGAGAATCACGATAAAGGGACTTGCTTGGCCCATGGAATATCTTCTTCGTAAAGTTGCAGGCTTTTATTGAATTTAATCTTTTTGGTAAAAAGGATTACTCGAGTCTTATTTATATTAACTTTTGATCTTCCATTTTGTCAGTCAAGTCTCGAGTATGCTTATGTAGT